TTCCACGGCTGGTCTATGCAGATCAGCTCTTCCACAGCGGGTCTATGCAGACCAGCTCTTCCACAGCTGGTCTATGCAGACCAGCTCTTCTACAGCTGGTCTATGCAGACCAGCTCTTTGACAGCTGGTCTATGCAGGCCAGCTCTTCCACAGCCGGTCTATGCAGGCCAGCTCTTCGACAGCTGGTCTATGCAGGCCATATCTTCGACAGCTGATCTATGCAGACCAGTTCTTCGACAGCATGTCTATGCATACCAGCTATTCAACAGGAGGTCTATGCATACCAGCTCTTCTACAGCAAGTCTATGCATACCAGCTATTCGACAGTCTATGAAGACCAGCTCTTCGACAGCTGGTCTATGCAGGCCAGTTCTTCGACAGCTGGTCTATGCAGGCCATATCTTCGATAGCTGATCTATGCAGACCAGTTCTTCGACAGCAGGTCTATGCAGACCAGCTCTTCGACAGCTGATCTATGCAGACCAGCTCTTCGACAGCAGGTCTATGCATACCAGCTCTTCGACAGCAGGTCTATGCAGACCAGCTCTTCGACTGCTGGTCTATGCTGACCAGCTCTTCCACAGCTGGTCTAGGCAGACCAGCTCTTCGACAGCTGGTCTATGTATACCAGCTCTTCGACAGCTGGTCTATGCAGACCAGCTCTTCGACAGCTGGTCTATGCAGACCAGCTCTTCCACAGCTGGTCTAGGCAGACCAGCTCTTCGACAGCTGGTCTATGTATACCAGCTCTTCGACAGCAAGTCTATGCATAGCAGCTCTTCGACAGCAGGTCTATGCATACCAGCTCTTCTACAGAAAGTCTATGCATACCAGCTATTCGACAGTCTATGAAGACCAGCTCTTCCACAGCTGGTCTATGCAGACCAGCTCTTCCACAGCTGGTCCATGCAGACCAGCTCTTCCACAGCTGGTCTATGCAGACCATCTCTTCCACAGCTGGTCTATGGAGACCAGCTCTTCCACAGCTGGTCTATAGAGACCAGCTCTTCCACAGATGGTCTATGCAGACCAGCTCTTCCACAGCTGGTCTATGTAGACCAGCTCTTCCACAGCTGGTCTATGCAGACCAGCTCTTCCACAGCTGGTCTATGCAGACCAGCTCTTCCACAGCTGGTTTATGCTGACCAGCTCTTCGACAGCTGGTCTATGCAGACCAGCTCTTCGACAGCTGGTCTATGCATACCAGCTCTTCGAAAGCAGGTCTATGCATACCAGCTCTTCGATAACAGGTCTATGCTGACCAGCTCTTCGATAACAGGTCTATGCTGACCAGCTCTTCGACAGCTGGTCTATGCAGAGCACTGCCACATCTCAATACTAAATACCAACATAGAGTTTAATATCAAATTTTGGGATTCCAACTCTATACCTTGACCCAATCTCAATTTTAGACACCAACAGATACCTCAATATAAAATTTCAGAATTTCATATCCATTCCTTTGCCCAATACCAATTGTAGTACATTTCCAATACATACACAATCTCCATATCTGAATCGCAAATACCAACAGAGACCTCAATATCAAATTTGAGTATTTCAGCTCTGTTAGTTCCTCTATTACAACATTTAGTACCATTTAGTGCAATTATGGTACGCTATTTAGAAACAGCTTCCTCTCTCAACCACAGATTCCAAAAGTGACATCCATTTTAAATTTCAGTATTTCAGCTCTAAACGCCCACCCAATACCCAATTTAGTATCATTTAGTACTTATCGTACAAATAGAATACACATTTCCAAAACCTTTTCCATATATTACTTCCAGATACCAAAAAGAGACCTCAATATCAAATTTCAGAATTTCAGCTCTATCCCTTCACCCAATACCAAATTTAGTACCATTTAGAACTTTTCGAACATTTATAGTACACATTTCAAAAACCACTTCCATATCATAACCACAGATACCAAGAGAACCTATACCTCCATATCAAATTTGAGGATTCCAGCCCTCTCCCTTTACTCAATAGCCAATTTAGTACCATTTAGTACTTTTCGTACAAATATATAGTAGATATAGTACACACTTCAAAACCCCCCACCCAAATCTCAATTCCAGATACCATCCGTTATCTAAATATCAAATTTCAGAATATTATCTCTATTCTTCGTCAAATACCAAATATAGTACCATTGTACCAAATTTAGTACCATGTAGTACAAATAAGCACGAAATTAAAAAAAAAAAAAAAAAAAAAAAAAAAAAAATTCACCAATAATTCCAAATTTCAATATTGTACTAAATTTAGTACCATTTAGTGCATTCATTTACAAAATTTCCATAACTACCGACACCATATAATCGAACCTTTTTCCAATTTCCAAAACTATCCACAAACCCCAATTCTACACTCCGACAGTAATCTTATTACCTAATTTCGGGATAACAGCCTTATTGGTTAAACCAAATCTAAATTGTACCAAAATTAGTACTACTTAGTGCACATAAGAACGTATTTCCAAATTTTCTACATACCCCAATTATAAAATGTAAGAGTAGTCGCAATTCCTAATTTCAGGATTCCATGTCTATCGGTTCTTCCAAAACCTAAATTGTACCAATTAATACACGAATAAGTACGAATTTCATAAACTACGTACATACGTCTCTCCTACAATGCAATGGTAATTTTTTTCCAAAGTGTAGCATTCCAACTCCATCGGTTCACTAAAATCCAAATTGTACCAAATTTAGTACCATTTAGCCATACCATTTAGCCATACCAGCCCAAATCGAAATTGTACCAAATTTCGTACCATTTAGTACATTTCGTGCACATAAGTACAAATTTCGAAAGCTACATATCCAAATCCTACTCTCCGCCAGGATCCTCCAAATTTCAGGATTCCATTTCCATTCGTTCGTCCAAATTGTAATTGTACCAAATTTAGTACCATTTAGTACTTTTCGTATGCATGAGTACACACAATTCCCAAACTACCTCCCTACGTTGACCCTACTCAATTTAACCTTGATTTCTATGGCAAATTCCATCCACTCATCAGTGTGCCTCAATACAAACTTTGAGTTCTAGCTCTACTGGTTCGTCAAATACAAAGGTTACAATATTTAGTAACTTTTAGTACTTTTCGTACCGTTTTAGTAAGAATTTCTAAAAATCCAGCCTTTTCTGACACCTTCAGGCCATGAATGAACTTCAACCAAAAATTCAAGATTTTAGCTTCATCTGGACGCTGATGTATCGGTTCTACCAACAGATGTATACCCTCGTATAGTCTTGGTAAGAATTTCTAAAAATCCTGCATTTCTCGGCACCTTCAGACCAAGAATGAACTTCAAGCAAAAATTCAAGATTTTAGCTTCATCTTAGCATCCCTCAGCCACTATCCGTTTATTTAAATATATTTTGACGTGTATTATGATTATCCAAAGAGTCGAACCCTTTATGAAAAAGGTTCCAGAGGAGTGAAACCAATGTTGACCATTTCGTATTTTCAAAATCCTTTTTGTAATCCTTTGTGGGAGATTCCAGAAGGAGTGGACCGATAAATCCCATATTCATAGCAGATCTTGTGTTAGTAGAAATAATGGGATATGAGGAGAAACGTTGCCTATTTCGGATTTTATGATCGTTTTTGGTTATTCAAAACTTTGACCCTTTGTGTGGGAGGTACCCGAAGGCATGGTCCGATCTCTACCTTCTTTATAACAGATCTTGTGTTGATGGAAATATTGAGATGTGTCAAGTCTGAATGGAATCGGATGTTAATTTTGAGTTTTATGAGCTTCATGGATATTCCAAATTTTGATCCTTTGTGGGGGAGGTACCAGAAGGGGTGGACCGATACATTTCATCTTCACAGCAGATCTTTGGTTAATAAAAATATTGTATGTGTGTAAGGGAATCGGATGCTAATTTCGGATTTTATGATCGTTTTGGTTATTCAAAACTTTGACCCTTTGTGTGGCAGGTACCCGAAGGAATGGTCCGATCTGTACCATCTTTACAACAGATTTTGTGTTGATGGAAATATTGAGATTTTCCAAGTCTGAATTGAAGCGGATGTTAATTTCGCGTTTTTTGAGCTTCATGGATATTCCAAATTTTGACCCTTTGTGGGGGAGGTACCAGATGGGGTGTACGGATATATTTCATCTTCACAGCAAATTTTGTGTTAGTAGAAATAAGGGGATGTTCGAAATAAAAAAATATTGGACGCTTATTTCGGATTTTATAATCGTTGTAATTATTCAAAATTTTGACCCCTTGTGGGGGAGGTACTTGATGGAATTGACCGATATTGTCCATTTTCGCACCTGACCTAGCACTGATGCAAATATTAGGATTTGCAAAGTTGGAGCAAAATTTCGATTATCCTTCCTCTCTCTCTGTGCAGCAAATTTTTTTTCTTTGAAAATGTTGTCATTTTGTGGCGGAGGTACCAGGAGTGGACCGATATTGCCCACCTCCGAACTCTATCTAAGTTTGACAATAATATTATGATGTGGCAAGTTTGGATCAAATCGGATACTCCCTTCGAGAGTTATCGTGCGCACCAGTCTGCCAGGCTAGGTCGACTCCAAATGTCCTGAAACAGATTTCGTCCAAAGAGACCTAGGGTCTAAAACCATTGTTTCGATGAGGCACGTTTTGGCCGTATCAAATCATATACCCTCTCTAGCCATATGGCTGAGGGTATAAACAACATTACCGTAGGGGACCCGTGCTTCCTAGGCCACTCCGACTACGTCTTCCAATAAGGGCAATGGGAAATAAATATTTTCCAATACCTCCCCATTGAATGTCGACAACCAACTATCCATAACCTCTTAACACTCACGTGCCCTCAAAATGTAACAAAACGTCCAAACGTCCAACCAAAAAAACTCAATCCAAAAATGGTCACCGCGACATATTCGGCCACTGTGCATGCGCAGAAGTTTTACTTTCTTTCGCCCCAAACATCGAGTGGTGAGTATAAAACGCTGACGATTGTTGGCAAACGATATCATTGTTTTCGAATTCATTCGATTGTTAAGACAGCACAGCACAGCGCGGCAGTTCAAAACGGATTTGAATTTAATTTTCGCTAGAAATTAAAAAAACTTCCTCCTTTTTTTCAATTCAAAAAATGGCTTTCCGTTTCACTCAATTCTTGGCCATCGGCTGTATTTTCTTGGTTGCCGTCAATGCTGCCGCCATTGACAACAGTGTGGCCGAGCCACGCATTGCCTCGTCGGAGGATTTGATCAGCAACATTGTGGACAATTGCTTCAACGAAAATGGCATGCACTGCCTGAAGGAGAAGGTCTTGACCTATTTGGATGATGTGGCCGGTGTTGAGGAGGAAGTCAGTGGTCGGGCTCTGAGCGATGATGTCATGGATAAGGCAATTACCGATCGTGTGGCCCGCATTTTGAACACCAACGAAATCCGTGTACAATTGCCCCAGACATTGTTCGACAGCTCTGTTATCACCTATCGTGCTGATCGCGGTTTCGATTTGGAAGTTGCCCAAACTGATGGTGGGTGTTGAGAGTGGGGGGGGGGGGGGGGGGGGGGGGGGTTTGATTTGTAGAATTTTATTAATTTGTTTTTTTTTTCTTCTTCCCCTTTTTAGCCCGCAGCCACAAGAAGAAGAACAAGTTGAACACCAGCCTTTTGTTGTTGGTCACCATCAAGGCCATCGTCATGCCCATCCTCATGGTCTTGATCAAATTGAAGGCCATCAAGGCTTTGATTTTGTCCAAATTGGCCATTAAATTGGTTTTGGGTTTCGTCCTCTACAACCTGTTCACCAAGTTGAGCGGTGCCAAGATGACCATGATGCCCATGTCTGCCGCCTCCACCGCCTACGATCGCAGCAGCAATGCCGATGCCCAGTACTTGGCCTACAATGCCTACTAAGAGGGTTATGCTAGCTTAGACACAATTTTGGACCCACAACCACCATCACCAACCACAAATGGAAGCTGCTAAGTTTTAGTTTTGAAATCTCAAAAGAAAGGGGTGCATCCTCGAGCATTTCAAAAGGCTTATGTAGTTAAGTAGTTTAATTAAATTATTATTATTTATAATTTATTTTTATGCAACAAAAACAAAAAAAAAAAAAACAAGTTCCATCGACCATAGAGAGCTGGAACTGCAAGGCCCTCTTCCCCCTTTTCATTCTGTCAACTTTTTTCTGTTTTCTACAACTTTCCCTCTTTCGATTTCACTTCCAACTATTTCCGCTCACCTCACCTCAACGAACAATGAAATGTCATTCCAAAGAAGTTCTTAAGTTAATAATAATAATAATATTTATTTAATTTATTTAAAAAAAAAGTAAAAATGCAAATTACAAGAAAAAATGAAAACAAAAAAAAAAAAAATAAAATAAAATAAAAACAATATTTTTTCCACAAAAAAAAAAAAAAACAAAACTCATTTGTATTCAATCAATGCGCCTGCCCCCAGCCAGCATTTAATTGGCCAATGATGAAGGGTGAAAGTAATTAGTCATAAAATTATGATTGGCTGACCGCATAAGCCAGCCAACGATTTCAATTCGATGAGAATGGAATGTGGGCTAAAAGGAATTTGGTTTGAAGAAAAAAAAAAAAAAAAAAAAAAAAAAAAAAAAAAAAAAAAAAATGAAAAAATTCCTACTTTAAAAAATGTCATTAATTTCACTTTCGTTTGACCAAAAAATAAAATTGGGTGGGGTAATAAATTGGGGTCACATACAATTTTTTCGTTCATATTTTATTTATTATCCAAAAAAATATTGACTCAATATCACCTCCAAAAATATGATGTCCCAAATTGGTATTTGAATTTCCGGAATATTTTTTTTTTTTTTTTTAATAAAAGTACATTAGAAAGTGTCAAAAATGATGAGTACCCAAAAATTTTAATATTCGCCTATCATTCGAAACTACAAATAGGGCATGGTTGGCATAGTTGGTATTGGGTGCATTAATCGTTCATCCAATTGGAATTTTGGAAATATAATATCATTTTATTTATGTTAATAAAAGAGTATCTGAGTATCTGACTGACTGACTGCCTGACTGCCTGACTTAACGACTCATCAACGCCCAGACGAAACGGCTAAAGCTAGAATCTTGAAATTGGAAAATTTTAATTACCCATTTCCCTCATTGAAATGGGAAATTTTTCCAAAGATAGCTACTTAGAGGTTTCTATGAACAAGTTAAAAAGTATCAGTCGGTATTGCCGCCAGAGATATACCCTCAGCCTATGTTCGATTATCTAAATATATTTTGACTTGTGTTAAGGTTATTCAAACGTTTGACCCTCTATGGAGCAGATCCCCAAAGAATGGGCCAATATTGCCCATTTCCTATCAGACCCAAAATATGATATAAATATTTCGACAGATGTGCCAAGTCTAAATGGAATCGGATGTTAATTTGGCGATTTATGAGCTTCATGGGTACTCAAAATTTCAATATTTTGTGGGGGAGGTACTTGATGAAGTGGACCGATATTGTCCATTTTTACACCTGTCCTAGCACTGACGCAAATATTAGGATTTCAAAGTCGGAGCAAATTCGGATTAGCCTTTCTCTTTCTGTGCAAAAATTTTTTTTTTTTTGAACATTTCGACCTTTTGTGGGGGAGGTACCAGAAGGAGTGGACCGATATTGTTCATCTTAACACCAGACCTTGGGTTAATATAAATATTCGGATGTGTGAAATTTGAAGACATTCGGATTTTTACATAACATTTTATGAGAGTTGTAATTGTTCAAAATTTTGACCATTTGTGGGGGGGAGGTACTTGATGGAGTGAACCGATATTGCCCATTTTCACACCTGAACTAGCACTGACGCAAATATTAGGATTCGCAAAGTCGGAGCAAATTCGGATTATCCTTTCTCTTTCTGTGCAAAAAATTTTTTTTTTTTTTGAAAATTTCGACCTTTTGTGGGCGAGGTACCAGAAGGAGTGGACCGATATTGCCCATCTCCGAACTCGATCTAAGTTTGACAAAAATATTACGTTGTAGCTAATTTGGACCAAATCGGATACTCCCTTCGAGAGTTATCGTGCGCACCAGCCAGCCAGACAGACAGACAGACAGACAGACAGACGGACATCGCTAGATCGACTCCAAATGTTCTTAAACGAATTTGGTCCAAAGAGACCTAGGGTCTAAAACCGTTATTTCGACTAGGCACGTTTTGGCCGTATCAAATGATATATACCCTCTGTAGCCATATGGCTGAGGGTATAAAAATCGTACTCTACTTTGGTGCACAAAAGTCTGCCTCTCTTGAGAAAATGTGACAACAATGGAATCGGGGAAATTGAAATCAAATTTTATGGAGAGTTCCGGAAAACCAACATTAGCTTTAAAATGATCATCAGTTTGAGATATACAGCGAGATGCATAGGTACAAATATCAATAAATATATGGGTACATGGATAGATAGTTATACAAGGTGAGATAGAAAAACTCTGCAACAAAGTCAAACGCCATAATTTTTACATTTTTTTTTCATTTTTTTGAATGAAAAAAAAAAAAACAAGTAAAAAAGCAGTAAGTTCGGCCGGGCCGAACTTTGAATACCCTCCACCATTTGGAAGGAATTTCGAAATTTTCAAAAAATAAAATTCCTAAAAAATTCTGTTAAATTTTTAAAAATACCGAATATAGCCGTTATATTGGGGTCTATACGACGTGGACCTACATAGGCATTGTTTGTCATAAGTCATTACCATATTAAACGGTCAATAATGTAGCCAAAATCATCAAAATACCGAATATTGGGAGGTACCGTTATATGGGGGCTATACGAAGACGTGGACTTGCACAAACAATTTTCTGTCTCAGGCCGCAGTATTCATTTCGAACTTCAAATACCAAATTTGGAACGATTCCGTTAAATAATGTCGCTAAAATCATCAAAATACCGAATATCGGGGGGTACCGTTATAAGGGGGCTATACGAATACGTCGACCTGCACAGACAATTTTCTGTCTTATGTGGTAGTATCCATTTCGAACCAAAAATGCCAAATTTAAACAATTCCGGTGAATAATGACGCTAAGATCAACAAAATACCGAATATTGGGAGGTACCGTTGTAGCGGAAGCTATACGAAGACGTTGACCTGCACAGACAATCTCCTGTCATAGGCTGTAGCATCCATTATGAACATTAAGTACCAAAATTAAAAGAATTCCGGTGAATAATGTCGCTAAAATCATCAAAATACCGAATATTGGGAGGTGTCGTTATATGGGAGCTTTACGAAGACCTGGACCAGCATAGACAATTTTCTGCCTTAGGCTGTAGTATCCATTTCGAACTTCAAATACGACATTTCAAACAATTTCGGTGAGTATTGTACCTAAAATCATCAAAATACCGAATATTGGGAGGTACCGTTGTATGGGGGCTACATGAATACGTGGACCTACATGGTCCATTTACGAACTTAATCTGCCTACTGGCAAAATAAACATGTGTGCAAAATTTTAGCCTTCTATCTCAATTCGTTCGAAAGATAGCGTGATTACAACAGGCAGACTGGCAGACGGACAGACAGACATATGGACATGGCTATATCGACTTAGAATTTTACGCTGATCAAGATATATATATATATATATATATATATATATATATATATATATATATATATATATATATATATATATATATATATATATATATATATATATATATATATATATATATATATACTTTTTTGGGTCTAAGATCACTATTTCGATGAGTTACAAACGGAATGACAAAATGAATATACCCTCCATAGTATGGTAGAGGTTATAAAAATGTCGGAAATAGCATCAAATTTTCGAAAAATTTAAGGTTTGTTCGACTTATGAAACCGTCACACGCTGCCCGAATGTTGCTCTGCGGTATTTTAGCCTATTCCCGGCGAAGCGCTTGCTTGAGGTGATCGACATTTTGGTATGTTTTAGTGCCATCCTTGCTTTTCAAAACACGCCAGGCACAATAGTCCAACGAGGATTGGTATCCGGAGATTTTGGTGACATTTGTGCGGTGGAAATGAAGCGAGGAAGCTCATTGTGTAACCATTCTTGGGTGGTGCGTGCTGAGTTCGATGGTGCTGAGTCCTGTTGGAATGTCCAAGGTCTGCGGCCAAAATGTTTGCCTGCCCATGGCTTTAGTACACCCTCCAGAATATTTTCGCCATAATATTCGGCATTTATTCTGATGCCACGCTCGATTAATACGAGCGGAGAGCGACCATCGGATTTTATGGCGTCCCACACCATCACCATGGCCAGCGCTTGAGTTATGGTGGCCAATCTAATCTCGGTGCAGATTTTCAGCTAACCTCTTTGGCAAGTAAACACGATCAATTTGTTTGTTTACAAACAGCGGAACAACGAATGTTTTCTCATCGGAGACGGAGAAAACCAAAATTCTGCAGTTTATCACTTTCGGCCAAGCGAAGCAACTCTTTAGCTCTTTTGGGTCTTTTTTTCTTCTTTTTCTTAATTTCTTGAAATTTTAATGACTTTACCCCGAGCTCATTTTTCAATATTTGCCGAATGGAATATTGCGATATTTTCAGTTCACGAGCCATTTTTCGGCCACTGCGACGCGGGTTCCGATCAAATCATTGCTTCTTTACTTTTCGAACCATTTCTGGTGATGTTGCTTTTTTCTTCCACGTCCACTTCTTTGACGTCGGGCCACGCTACCGGTCTCGAGTATCACGGTAACGAGCGATGGTACGAGACACAAAAGATTTATTCTCATTTAAATCCTGGAGAGCTCTAACGATAGCCACTTGTGGTTTTCCAGTCAAATATAAAGAAATCACACTATCACGCCTGAATTCCATCTCGAATAACCTTTTTTCTGGAAAATTCTCACGAAAATGCTCTTTTGTACGCTTGTAAACAATATAATGAGCTGTCACTAGAATAATTTTAACAGCTGTCGGACGAGTGGCTTAGAAATGACAGCAGTCTGAAGTTGGTTGCAGTTTTTTAATCTCACTCTGTATATTTATGAACGTATCTTTGTCTCTTTGAATTTAAAAGTACACCCTATACATAGCTTTAAATCCCATGTTTTAACAATAAAAAATCACAAAATTTAGTCATAATTTATTCAAATTTATTTGAAAAAAATCTCGAGGCAATACTTGTTTTGCCAAGAGGCTAAATGAAAGAAAAATACCCAATTGAATTTATTTACAAGAAAATTAAAATATATAAATAAATAAAAACCTAATTAAATTAAATTAATAAATAAATTCGAAAATACTCACTCTTCTGAAACACGGGATCGTCGCAAAATTTCGTGAAAAATTTCCTCGCCCCCTCGACGTTGTTATTCAGAATCCGGACATTGTGTTTGGGAATGCAACGTACCATATAGTCGTCGAAACATCTCATGCCATGATGAAAGACGCTGAAATGACAGGACGAAAAAAGGCAAAGGCAAAAACATTAAAAACCAAAAAAGTGATGGCAAAATTTCCATAAAAAGAAGAAACAGAAACGTGGCACTCAGTTAATATTCCCTTTGAGCCAACCATAACTCCTTCTAAGAAATGCAAAGAGAATAGCTGGGAAAAAATAAGGAGGAAAGGAGAAGAAACAACAAAAGTTCCCTCCTTTAATTAAATCATTAACAACGTCAAACCTTTTCCTATTTTTCCCTCAAAGGGATAATAAGCGAAAGAAAAGAGGTGGGAATTTTTAAGACTTTTACGTGGAAACGACTTCTGTTACGCTTTTGGGAGAAAAACGGAAAAAATATAAGAGGCTATTAAAAGAGGGAGATGGAGCATTATATTTTTCGGAGGTATAAGTGTACAACAGCACCCTATAGGAGGAAGTTCAGTACACAACATAAAGAAAATCGGGAAGGGAAACTTTTTAGCCTTTGAAGATCTTCATTTTGAAACTCATAAAATCCGTTAAAAATTCTGTTAAAATTTTAAAAATACCGAATGTAGCTATTATATTAAGGGTCTATACGACAACATGAATTTACGTTGGTAACATTTGTCTTAAGCCATTACAATATTCAATTGTGAAACTTAAAAAAATCGGTTATAATGTCGATAAAATCAAAATACCGAATATTGGGAGGTATCGTTATATGGGGGCTTGGTGGGGAAGAGGTGGACCTGCACAGACAATTTTCTGTCATAGGCTGTAGTATCCATTACGAACTTCAAATACCAAACTTGAAAGAATTCTGGTGAATAAATTCGCTAAAATCTTAAAAATACCGAATATCTAGAGGTACCGTTATATGGGGGCTATTTGAAGACTTGGACCTGCACGGAAAATTTTCTGTCTTAGGCTGTAGTATCAATTACGAACTTCAAATACCAAATTTGAAACAATTCTGGTGAAAAAATGTCCATAAAATTATCAAAATACCGAATATTGGGAGGTACCGTTATATGGGGGCTCTACGAAGACGTGGACCTGCACAGACAATTTTCTGTCTTAGACTGTAGTATCCATTATGAACTTCAAATACCAAATTTGAAACAATTCCGGTGAATAAATTCGCTAAAATCATCAAAATACCGAATATCGGGAGGTACCGTTATATGGGGGCTATACGAAGAAAAAGCCTCCGAGCGAAATGAAATAGGTTGATAAAATTTTACTCAAATGTCTATTATGTCTGCAGGACTTTTTGTATTGAAAATGGGTGATGTAGGTCCACGTTTTCAGATAGTCCCCATATGAGGGTACCTCCGGATATGCGGTATTTTGACGGTTTTAGCGACATTATTCACCGGAATTGTTTCAAATTTGGTATTTGAAGTTCGTAATGAATACTACAGCCTGCGACAGAAAATTTTCCGTGCCGGTTCATGTCTTCATATAACCCCCATATAACGGTATCTCCGGATATTCGGTATTTTGACGATTTTGGCGACATTATTCACCGGAATTGTTTCAAATTTGTGTATTTGGAGTTCGTAATGGAAACTACAGTCTGTTACCGAAAATTGTGTATGCAGGTCTAGGTCTTCGTATAGGCCCCATATATCAGTACCTCCCTATATTCGGTATTTTAATGATTTTAGGTACAATACTCACCGAAATTGTTTGAGATATCGTATTTGAAGTTCGTAGTGGATGCTACAGCCTGTGACAGAAAATTGTCTGTGCAGGTCCAGGTCTTCGTATAGCTCCGATATAATGGTACCTCCCTACACACGGTATTTTAATGCTTTTAGCTACATTATTCACCGTTTATTTCAAGTTTCGAATTGAAATATGGCAATGGCTTATGACAAACAATGCCTATGTAGGTCCACGTCGTGCAGACCCTAATATAACGACTATATTCGGTATTTTTAAGATTTTAATAGAATTTTTTTAACGGATTTTATTGTTTGAAAATTTCCAAATTCCTTTCAAATGGTGGAGGGTATCAAAAGTTTGGCCCGACCGAACTTAGCTTAATTTTTACTTCTTCATTTTCTTAACTGACCTTATTTTGATAAAAAAATATTACGATGTGAAAAATGTTTGAGGACTGCCATCACTTAAAAAAATTGAGATTTTTAAGAAACTTTATAGGAAAGTAAAAAAAAAAATAATCGGAAAATGTAAGAAAGCTGTAACATGGTGCCACAAAAAATAGTATGAGGGCGGTAAATCGGTAAATAGTATGAGGGCGGTAAATCTAGGCGGCCAATTGACCGAACCCCAAAGTAAAATAAAACGTTCACCTATCGCTTTTTACTAAATTCGGTCGTTTGTGGTCGATGAAGCAGAAAGAGTAGTCAATCGGTTCTAGTTTAGAAATCTTTGAAGGTTTTTGAAAATAGAGTTTTTAATATGCCAATATTGTCAATATTCTGACCCAACTCAAGCTTAACAGACGATTTGCAAATTCCCTTCGCTTTATGTGAGTTATGTCGTTTTGTTTGGAAAACTATGAGCATTTGTGGAGGAGGTTCCTGAAGAAGCTGAGCAATATATACCGTCTATATATTAGATCTTTTTATGAAATTATTAAATATTATACCCTACACCACAAGGTGGTCAGGGTTTTATGTCTTTGTGCCTTTGTTTGTAACAGGCAAAAGGAAACGAGATAGACCCATACTTCCTTTTGATGATCTGCATAGAATCACATTCGGAGTCGATTTATGCATGTCCATCCGTCCATCTGTCCATGTATTTTTTTTAAACAAAGTACAGATCGCATTTACTGCCCGATCCACATGCAATTTTTGCACAAATAATTTGTTTGGCCCAAGGACGAATCCCAATGAAATTGGAGTTTAAACGGTCAAAATTTAGGTATAGCTCCCAAATATATATCTTCGTCCGATTTGTCTTTTATTGTGAATCAAACGTATTATACCAATTTGTATGGAATTTTGCATATACGACCAGAATTGGTTTGGAAATAACTATGTCATATTTGATCGAAATCAATTCAAATATAGCTATTGCTCCTATATATACTTTTCATACGATTTGTTATTTTTGTCCTCCGCAACCGTAATATGCACTCTGTAACAACAATATTTGGGGAAATATATCAAATGCAGCTCAGAAATATCTTTGCCAAATTTTATCATGATCGGTTCAGATTTGGATATAGATCCCATATGTATAACTTCGTCCGATTCGCTTTCTTTGGCGCACAAAACGTGTAATATTAGCCCAAATTGGATGAAATTTGGTACTAACGACCAATTTGAGCCTAGAAACAAGTATGTGAAATTTTATGAAAATCGGTTCAGATATAGCTATAGCTCCCATATACAGGTTGAGTTGAAAAAAACTGCAACCTACTTCAGACTGCTGTCATTTCTAAGCCACTCGTCCGACAGCTGTTAAAATTATTCCAGTGACAGCTCATTATATTGCTTACATACGTACAAAAGCATTTTGGTGAGAATTCTCCGGAAAAAAAGTTATTCGTGATAGAATTCAAGCGTGATAGTGTGATTTCTCTATATTTGGCTGGAAAACCACAAGTGGCTATCGTTAGAGCACTCCAGCATTTAAATGTGAATAAATCTTTTGTGTCTCGTACCATCGCTCGTTACCGTGATACTCGAGACTGGTAGCATAGCCCGACATCAAGGAAATGGATGGAAGAAAACAGCAACATCAGCAGAAATGGTTGGAAAAGTAAAGAAGCGCCTTGATCGAAACCCACGTCGCAGTGGCTTAAAAATGGCTAGTGAGCTGAATATATCGCAAATTCGGCAAATATTGAAAAATGAGCTCGGGGTAAGCCATTGAAATTCCAAAAAGTGCAAGAACTTACACCGCCACAGAAAGAAAATAGACTCAAAAGAGCTAAAGAGTTGGCTCGCTTGGTCGAAAGTGGTGAACTGCCGAATTTGGTTTTCTCCGTCTCCGATGAGAAAACATTCGTTGTCCTGCAGTTTGTAAACAAACAAAATGATCGTGTTTTCTTGCCAACAAAGAGGTCAGCTGAAAATGTGCACCTTCGGTTGGCCACCAGAACTCAAGCTTCGGGCATGGTGATGGTGCAGTGTGGGCCGCCATAACATCCGATGGTCGATCCCCGCTCGTATTAATCGACCGTGGCATCAGAATAAATGCCGAGTATTATCATGAAAATATTCTGTAGGGTGTATTACAGCCTTGGGTACGCAAACATTTTGGCCGCAGAAATTGGACATTCCAACAGGATTCAGCACCATCGCGATACCATCTCCGGATACCAATCCGTTGGACTATTGTATCTGGCTTATTTTGGAAAGCAAGGTTGGGACTAAAAAATACCAAAGTGTCGATCACTCACCTCAAGAAAGCGCTTCGCCGGGAATGGGCCAAAATACCGCAGAGCAACATTTGGGCAGCGTGTGACGATTTCATTGGCCGTTTAAAGGCCATAATTCCAATTCGAGCAAATCTAAACTTATTCTAACATTTGATACTATTTTCCGACATTTTTTCTTCGAATATTATCGCGAAAATATTCATGAGGGCACCCAATCATTTTGGCCGCAGTCCTTGGACATTCCAACAGGACTCAGCATCATCGCACTCAGCACGCGCCGGCACCCAAAAATGGTTACAAAATGAGTTTCCTCGCTTCATTTGCAGCGCACAATGGCCACCAAAATCTCCGGATACCAATTCGTGGGAATATTGTGACTGGAGTATTTTGGATAGCAAGGTTGACACTAAAAAATACCAATGCGTCGATCAGCTCAAGCAAGTGCACCGTTGGGAATGGGCCTAAATACTGCAGAGCAACATTCGGGCAGCGTGTGATGGTTTCATTGGCCGTTTGAAGGCCATAATTCGTGCCAAAGGTGACCAATTCGAACAAATCTAAACTTATTCTAAAATTTGATGCTTTTTCCGACATTTTTTGCGAATATTATTGCGAAAATATTCTGGAGGGCACCCAAACATTTTGGCCGCAGACCTTGGACA